CCAGGGATAATCGTGCAGTCGGTGCCATCAATAACGGCGTCGGGATCAGGCTCGGGGCCAAGGATATCACCTGGGTTCCCGCCGAAATAAAAGCCTGGATGATGCTTAATACTGCCGCCGTCCAACACACCGACATTTCGTATCATGATGGTTGGCATATTTTCAAACGCTCTCGTTTCGATGTCTAAGTTGTCTACTACCGAGTTAGTGCGTTTGCTGTTGATTCATCTAGTGTTAATACTTGGCGATGAATAACACCACGTTGATGGCAGTCTCTCCGTGTAGTACGATGATCAAGTACTAGTCTGCCGTTGCTTGACAAGGGACCTTGGTTGGAACAGAATGAAACAGGACCTTGGGCTTAAACAACAAATGACCTGCTATTGTTCGGGTCTTTATAGGATTGCTTGTGTCGCAACCCGTGCATAATATCCCTTTACAGCAGTTAAGGCTTCAACGATGTATCTCCAACGTCGATGATCAGAGCCAATAGGCATCTTCTTCTGATCGATACTTCCATCAACACTTGCTACCCACCAGAACAAAAGTATCGAAAATTCGATGTGCCAGTGATACCTCGTTGCAGCCTTAGCTGCTCTAAAGGGATATTTTTACTCGCCTCACAAACCAAAAATCGTAGAGGGGGTCTCGGTTTGGGTAAGTGACGATGCTATTGCGCGATGATGATGTAACGCCTTGCATTGCGCGGCGCGCAACTTGTACGTCATTCATGGCTTTTGCAGTAGGTTACGGAGTAGTAATGTCTAGAAGTGGTACGTATAGAGGTATTAAATCGTGTGCCGCACGCATTGTATTTCTCGATAATTTTTTCCCGCATATCTGAGTATGCACCATGATTGATGACAAGGGCTTGTTCCAGTGGTAACAGGTGCCGACGGGAACCAAAGCATATTTTCTTCAGCCACGAAAAGGATATATACGGCGCTGATTGCGAGAGGAGTATGCTCTGAACTATACGGGCATTATTTCTGACGAGCGTTTGGAGAGAAGGCATTGAGGCAGAAAAGAACTGCGATGTTACTCCGCTGAAACGGTCAGATTTCGAGTTCGCGTGCAGTTTATCAACTCCACGGGCTAGTGTTAGAGAATACGGAAATTGCGAGATGACATGCCAAGTCCTTCTCGCTCTCCTGGCAAGATTGGTCAGTATCGACCACCAAAGTCCAGACGCCCTTTGAAGAGGAGTAAATTAAGAGGCGAGCTGGCATCTTGGAAGGAATCTCTGCATCAGTGTCCTGGCATCCTCTCTAGGAGTGGCGAAACTATGGAGCTTGAGGATTCTCTACAGCCTTCAATGTTACCGGGAGTATCCGGCCGATCCAACTGGCATCAGTGGAGACGACAAAAAACTACATATATACATATTGACATATGTAGATTTGTAATCGGCGTCAACTGGTGCTTACTGTTGGCTCGTTGGCTGCTGTTATAGCGGACCGTGGGTTGCATTCCAGCCCGATACGGAGTCCTACCTACAAGTCTTGCATCTTTGGGCCAATGCGTCATCATCAGCACCGAGTATTTAAGTGACTTGTCACCGCAGCCAACATCTGGGCACCGCCGATCAAGACAGAGCGCGACATGGTTATTCGGCGCCCTCTCTCCAAAGTGAGCTCACTTGACACTGTCTACGACCCGATCAAAACAGACACTCACTCCATCTGTAGGTGTTCAACGGCCATACAATAGCATCAGCCGTCCGAGTTTACTCCAAGTCATCCATCGCGCCCATCATGAACGCAGACGTCCGACGGGTTGTAGACTTTTGGTTCAACCGTCCTCCCATGGAATGGATCATCGCGCCCGAGGGTCTCGACGCCCAAATCAAGTCCGAGTTTGGACAACTCGTCCTCAAAGCTCGGAACAACGAGTTGGACGACTGGACCGCGGAGCCAGAAGGCTCTGTCGCCCTGGTCGCTCTGCTGGACCAATTCTCTCGAAACATGTTTCGCGGCTCTCCAGACGCCTTCAGCGCCGATGCCAAGGCGTGGGACATTGCCACAAAGGCCATCGCCCGTGAATTCGACAGCAAGGTCACCGTCATCCAGGCAACGGCGTTGTACATGGCGCTGATGCAGCAGGAAAGTTTGATCTCGCTCATTGCCGCACGCCAACTGTTTAAGGCCCTGAAGCCGAGATGTGCCACCGGGGAGGAACACAAATGGGTCGACATGGGCATTGCGGCTTCAAAGAGACACATGCAGCAATTGGAACAGTTTGGGAGGTATCCAACTCGGAATGCACTTTTGGGAAGGAAGAGTACAGAGGCCGAGGAAGAGTTTCTAAAGGGGCATGCTCCTAGTCTGTAAGGTGTTTGGGGGAGCGACCGCGCAGACTACTATCAAAGATAATACACATCGGCTTGCGGCTCTTTTTGATGTACATCTTCTTGCTAATTTTTATAAATGAGGGTTGATATCGTGCGACGTAACGGACTAGACAGATTCTACGGCATGTAGACATCAACACAGCATCCCACGTATCAATCTAGAGAAAGCTCATGTTGCCGATCCGCCTGCACCAGCCCACTCAAATTCCAAGATGCCCATGGCAGAACCTTTGGGTTCAATGGCGCTCTTGAACACAAATCCCGGGTCTGCCTCTCTGAACAAGGCTTTCCAGTCAGCTAGTGTTCTTTCTCGAGAGTTGAAGGTATAAGCCATCTCCAAGTCCATCGCCCTGTGGAATGATGAGTATGTGTCATGATACGACTTCAAGCCTCGGGCGGCAACAACAGATGGCATACCTCAAGTCTCTTTCCTTGCACTGGGATACACTTCCTCTTGCCGGCATGAAAGACTCTTGTACAACAAGACGCGCCCCTTTTTTCAGCGCTGGTAGCTGGGCCCTGAGAATCTGGATGCAATATCGGTCTGACCAGTTGTGAAAGATCCAGCGAAAGAAGAATACATCAGCAGGGATAGTCTGAGCATCAAACAAGTTGTGAGCCATGAACCGAACCCTCTCCCGCAAATCACCACTCGTCGCGTTCTCAACCACCTTGGCCATGTCCTGCACAACAATATCCAGTAGGAGGTATCGTTTGGCGAGTGTGAGCGCAAAGTGGCCGTTGCCGCCGCCGACATCGACAACTCGAGCCGTGCCGAGCGACGCCCAGTCGTAAAAATCTGTACCGTAACACGCGTCAAACTCTGGCTTCGATGTCATCACCTTCATCGCGTTTGCGAAGCGAACAGCTCTCTGTGGATATTCCGAAATAACATCGTAAATTGACCCCGTCGTGTTATTTGCCAAAGAGAATCCCTGGTTGGAAGGATTAGCAAACAGCCTGCTAGACAATTAGGACAGCGTATGCCTCGCAATACCGTCTCGTTTGGCTCCTGCGAGCCTGGCCATTTCTCAAGGGCTTCTGCCAACTACAGAGAGGTCGTCAATATGCCGTTCTACTCGAGTTTCGCTCAGATGTCTCACTTTGTGTCCTGCCGGGCCCAATTCCTCGGTGCCGGCGCGAATCCAGTCTCTCATCTCTGGGCTTGCCAGCATTCTCGATGCTCTTGTATGAGCCACAAATCCACATTCAGGCTCGCGGAATACGCGCATCGTCACGGCGTGGCGAATGATGCGACCCATCATTTGCTCCGTCAGAGGTGTCTGGCTGGCAAGTTCTTTAAATGAGATCTGGCCGCCTGGTGGTACGAGGCTCGCAATATCGAAGCGAGCAATGGTTTGCAGACAGGCCGTCTTATCTCCCTATATTTTTTCGACTGTGTTAGCCACTCGACTAATGAATCATGCTAGTTTAGGAATATGTACTCTGGCAGATTGGTGCATAAGATTCAAGGGATCTGTGAGCAAGTCATGAAGCTCTGCCGTGGCATCAAGAACGACATCTTGGGCTTCTCTGATATTTGCGGGAAGAGGAGGACTATCCTCGTCAAAGGAAGGCGATGGTGCTTGTTGGCTATCTAGAACTTGTTGAATCTTGGCTACTGAAAGGTTGATAGTGGTGGCCAACTGGATCAATCGCGGCATCGACTGGCTGGAGTCCATGTTGATTTCTCGGCGTGGGGGCAAGCAAGGACTCAGAAGGCAAGATTGCGGTTAGGCTGCAAAAGGTTTTATGGTCAATTACTTAATTCCAACGGCCTTGTTGTACAGGCAGGCGTTGACAATGCACACGGATCGCTGAGTGTGGCTTTTCGAATCAGCATTCAAGTTGGCCGACGTGATGCATCAATGTCAAAAGACAGTCTCCCAGCGCAATCGTTTTTCGCCCCGTACAGAAAGGGTCTAACTAGGCTATTGACAGCATCATACTGCCACCCCGGGGGATTTACGTATCAAATAGACCCTGTCCGAGTTGGGGGCCGCATCCGTTCCATGTTGTCTGATACGTAAGCACTCGCCCTGTGTTCCATCCACGCTATGCGAATTTCGACCACGTCGCTCGGTGCTCCATGGTCGATTAGACTCTGACGGCTAATCACAACGGATATAAACTGCGGGATACATATGTACCTGGGGGCGGAGGCGTTCTCTTGGCGTCGCGACCAAGACCAACCAACGTACTCCGTAATCCACCCGAATTGCCGTTGTAACGGTCTTGTTGCTATTTGTACACTTTGAATGCAGATGTGGACCCGTGGGAATGACCTTGAATAGGCCTTGCTGTGGTGTGATTTGCGGTCATTGCAGAATATGGAACAGGTAAGCAATGAACCGCATCAACGCCCAGTCGAGCAACCGCCGGGTCTCGATTTTGAGGCTGTAGGTGCACTCCCGGTGTCAGTTCATTTCCCGTGGCCCCCGAATCGATTCTGAAAGCCTCATCATTCAACATCATGTGGAGTTCAACCCTAGTCATACTGCTCGTGCTGCACGTCGTGCCTATTCACTAGCATCGATATTGAGGTTATCAGGCAGTTCACGACTTGGGGCAAATAAGACAGTTGGAGCCTGCACAACGTCAAAGCATGCTTCAATATTCTGGTGATTCCAATTCTCTCCCAGTTTTTACCATGGCTTTGCTGCATCAATTGACGTCCTGGCTCATGGGACGCAAGTTCTTGACAGCTTCTGGGTCTCGGACAATGGCCAAACGTCAATTAGCCATCAAGCCTTCCATTTCAGAACTCGAATCAGAAAATGTCTGCCTTCAAGACATCTTGAAGGCCCGAGCAATATCGAATAGAGGCGCAGTCATCTGCTACTTTACGGGAGACACCACAACAGCCAAAGCGTTCTCTTATCTTGAGCTGTATACCGAGGCCAGTCAGTACAGTCGCATTATTCGAAACCTTCCTGGTTTCCAAGATGGAAAGCCAGTGGTACTGCACTTGGATGAACAATGGGATGCAATCGTCTGGTTTTGGGCCGTCTTGCTCGCCAACGGCTTGCCCGTGCTCTCCCCTCCCTTGAGTCACATCGATGATCATCGACATAGGCATATCCGGGGACTATCAGATCTGCTCCAGTCACCCATATGCATCACACGAAACAAACTATCAAATTTATTCGACGGGGCCAAACATTTGCTGCAGTTACACACCATTGAAGCGCTGTGTTGTGACACAGCATGGACGCAGCAGCATGGATCGACAACCATGACTGCTTCAGCAACTCAATCTGTACAACGGTCTAGTTGCTTGAAGTATCAAGGCGGCCAAGGTCTCGCCATGCTCATGTTAACATCGGGAAGCACTGGCAACGCCAAGGCAGTGTGCCTGAGTCACAAACAAGTCCTTGCGGCCATTTCCGGCAAAGCAGCCGTCCGACCACTTCCTACAGACGGATCATTTCTGAACTGGATCGGGCTTGACCATGTGGCCAGTTTGGTTGAGATCCATCTGCAAGCCCTGTGGCTGGGTGTTGACCAGGTCCACGTGAATGCGGCCGATGTCGTCTCCTGTCCGCAGGTCTTTTTGGACCTCTTGACGCGGCATCGCATCTGTCGAACTTTTGCCCCGAATTTCTTCCTCGCCCGGTTAGTCTCCGTGACCGAACAGGAGTCTGATATCGAGCAAAAAGACACTCCATGGGATCTGTCAAACCTCAAAGTTGTCGCCTCTGGTGGTGAATCCAATGATATGCAAACATGCTTGGCAGCATCTTCCTTGTTTCGCAAATACGGTGCCAGCCATAATGTCATTACGCCGGGATTTGGAATGACGGAGACATGTGCTGGATCAATCTTCAACCTCTCGTGTCCTGACTACGATATCACGCAAGGCTATGCCTCAGCCTCACTAGGCAAGTGTATGAGAGGTATTGAAATGCGGGTCATGGTTGGCTCTAGATTGGCGACTACGGACGAGATTGGGGATTTGGAAGTACGGGGTGATGTGGTTTTCAACGGCTATTATCGAAATGCTGAGGCTACCGCGGAGGCCTTTCCGTGGAAGAATGAATGGTTTCGAACCGGCGATGAAGGCTGCATCGACCCTACTGGCAATTTGCGTCTTTTCGGCCGGAAGAAGGAAGTCATCAACATCAACGGAATCAAGGTTGTCATAGCTGATATCGGCTCCCTACTAGACAAGGCTTTGGGCAACAAGACAAGCCGGCTCGTGGTGTTTCCATCCCGGGCTGTGCATACTGAGCAGATCACCATTGCCTACGTTCCGAGAGATTGGCCCCAAAGGTCCGATGAAATGGCTGAAATTGACGAATTGGCAATCCAAACCTGCCTCGCCGGTTTTTACGCTCGCCCTTTGGTCTTTTCCATCAGTCAGGCATCGTTGCCGCTACTGCCTCTGTCGTCCCTGGGCAAGGTATCCCGGTCCAAAATGACCTCATTATTTGAGGACGGTGTCTTTGACGAGGACGTGGCAATTTACAGACAAAAACTTGCTGCACACAAAAAGGATAAAAACGAAGACATGGCTGCCACTGAATCGGAACTACTGCTGCTGGATGACTTTGCCAAGGTTCTCGGCGTCGACCTCAACACTATAGGTCCGGAAACAAGACTTTACGATGTGGGCTTCACTTCGATGGACTTGATCCGTTTGAAGCGTCGCATAGACACTCGTCTGGGGATGACCGTCCCCGTCATCACACTCATGAAGAATCCGACGGCACGGTCGCTGGCGAGAGCTCTAGATTCGGAGCCCTGCCTTGACAACTGGTCGGAAAAGCTAAACCAATCGACGACAGATTACGATCCTGTAGTGATACTCAAACCCAGTGGTACAAAGACACCCCTTTGGCTTATCCACCCTGGGGTAGGAGAAGTTCTGGTTTTCGTCGGTCTCGCACAGCATCTTGCCGACGATGATCGTCCCATCTACGCTCTACGTGCCAGAGGTTTTGAGCCTGGTCAGGGACGATTTTCTTCCATTGATGAGACGGTCGACACCTATGTTGAAGCAATCCGACAAAAACAACCACAAGGTCCATATGCATTGGCCGGATACAGCTACGGCGCGATGCTCGCGTTCGAGACGGCCAAAAGAATACAAGCAGGGACCGGCGGTACGGCAGACAGCTTGGTGCGGTTTCTTGGTAGCTTCAACTTGCCACCACATATCAAGTCGCGCATGCGGCAACTTAGCTGGAACATGTGCCTCTTACACCTGACTCAGTTTCTCGGTCTGACAACGGAGGAAGATGTGGAGGACATGGCCAGGGACCCTGGATTCTCTACTGCAGCCAGGGAAGACTCGCTAGCACAGGTCCTCGGGGCGTCGGATCGACATCGTATGGATGACCTGGGATTGGGAGATGCGGCTCTCGCGCGGTGGGCAGATGTCGCTTATGGGTTGCAGAGCATGGCAAGGGAGTACGAGCCAAGCGGGCGGGTGGACGGGATTGACGTATTCCACGCCATTCCACTAAAACGGGCGGCTGCATCAAGAGAGGAGTGGGTAGATGTGCATCTAAGCAGGTGGAAGAACTTCTCCAGGACTGAGCCAAGGATGCATGCCGTTGGGGGCGCACATTACACCATGATTGCGCCCGATCATGTTGTGGGGTTCGCCGCGAAGCTCAAGGAGGCTCTGAGGGCTCGAGGCATCTAGAATTTGATCCATAATGTCTGGTGCCTTGCTTAGTTGTTGCGCTACGCGAGAGGGTGAATCCTGGCTTGTTTCGTTCTGTAAATACAAAGCGTCCTTGACACCAGTGCTTCTGGCCAAGACCACGACCAACAAGAAACATTCATCACAACGTGCTTCGTCTCTTTAGACCTTGCCAGCATGGACGCACCCATTGACCAGCTCAAGCAGTTGGCAGCGACGGCTGATGATGTAACCCGTCAGCAGCTCGTGAGGTCGCTGAACGAGTTGGTCCTCTCGCTAGAAAGCCCCAATGACACGGTCCACAGATACGGACACATGGTGAGTTGCCTTTTCGCCTTTGTTGAACTTGTTCAAAGAGTTGACTGTTGTCCGTCACAGAACCTCCAGACAGCCACCATCAGAATCGGCTTCGACTTGGGACTCTTCAAGCTCTTATCTGAAGCAGGAGGCCCGATTAGCGTAGAAGAGGTGGCCCAAAAGACTCGATCAGAGCGCGCCTTGATTCGTACGTCCAGCGTTCCACGTTTAACAGGACCCTTGCTGAATTTCCGTGTCTAGATCGAATCTTGAGATATCTGGAGGCCATTGGCGCAGTCACCGAGACCTCGGCAACCCAGTACAGCGCGAACAACGTCACTAGAAACCTCACGGAGAAGGCTGTTGAAGCAGGCTTGGGACATTAGTTCGTGTTTCTTCAAGACTCTGTCTTGGTGCCTTTTTCTCAACTCCGCGACAAAGAGCTTGTGCTAACAACTCTCAGCTTCTACACGGCCGGACCCCAGTATGAGGCCCTGCCAGCCTTCTTGAAGAGAACAAATTACCGAAACCCCGCCGACGAGCTGCATACAGCTTTCCAGGATGCATGGAAAACACCACTCCACGCGTTTGCTTGGTTTGGTGAGAACCCCGAGCACCTCGCCAACTTCAATGACTACATGGCTCTTCGTCGTCAGCCCCAAGTTTCGTGGCTCTCGGTGTATCCCGTCGCACGCGAAATCAAGAATTGGGATGCGCAGGACAAAGACAGAGTTTTATATGTCAACATAGGTGGCGGCATCGGACATCAGTGCAAACAGTTCAAGGAGAAATATCCCGATCTGACCGGGAGGGTGGTCCTTCAGGATCTCCCGCATTCGATCGCGAAGGCTCTACCGACTCCGGGAGTTGAGAACCTGGAGCATGATTTTTTCCAACCGCAGCCGATCAAGAGTGAGTAGCGCGTCGGTCTACATCCACCATTCCAGTCCAAATGCTAATCAAGGTCTCTTTTTTCCCCGCCTCTCTCGCAGATGCCAAATTCTACCATCTCCGGGGCATCCTCCACGACCATCCGCCACACCAAGTCCAGAAGATCCTGGAGCAGACCAAGGCGGCCATGGGGCCAGAGTCGGTCCTGCTGATTGACGAGATGATCTTGCCCGAGAGAGGGGTGAATCTGATGGCCGCGTCTATAGACTTGACCATGCTTACGGCCTTGGCAGGCATGGAGCGGACCGAGGCGCAATGGCATGACACATTGAGAGAGGCAGGGCTTGAACTTGTTGAAACCTTTATGTACGCACCGTTACATTATGAGGGGGTGATGCATGTGAGATTGCCAGGCGTCAATCCATGAGTAATCCATACCTTATCTATTTCGAGCACTAAGAGAATGAGAGCGCTGGGGGTCAGAGGTAGCCAATGCCGTCATCAAATGCCGAAAAACTGCAGCCTGCTATGAAAAGATCAAGTATCGGATCTGCCAATGGTCATGAGACCGCACGCATTCACTGGCCCGTAAGTGGCTCCGACACTTGTCCGCTGAAGGGTCTGGTCAATTCATAATACTGGTACGCACACTGCGCCTCGCCCACGCTGCGTGTAATATGCGGGCGAAGAGAATGTAACATGGGGTCTAAACTGGCACATACATAATGTAACGGTAGGCTTACCAATACCCGCGCAATCCCTACATGGGGTTACAATCGTCAGCGTGCTGTGCCAGTGTCCCCAATCGAATGGCTTACAAGGTGGAGTGCAATTACTTCTACACTCCACCGGTTTTCAGTTCTCGGACCAGTTCGTATTCTTGTTTTTTTGCGACTCGAGGCAGCAGTTGTTGTGTCTTGTAAGGAGTTGGTTGTCTTGCAGGTTATCGGGCGTTCACGGCGTGAGACGACGATAATCTTTGCATCAAGAGTGGTCCCATTTTCCGCTCAACATGCAAAAACTAGTGTCTTCATCTGCAGAGATTACGAGCGCCCTGATGCGAGTACCAAGCAACCTTGCCCAGCTTTTTTCTGTGACTGAACCTGGTGAGCAGCCTACCCTAGCTTCCAAATAGAACCCATCAAGTCGCTGTAGCACGTCTCACAAGTGAAATATGCAAAACTGTTCACTTTTAAACTATGCGTAAGATAAGTGGCCGTATACTTGACTTTTCCGCACGTGCATCTACAACCCTGTGGTGAAACCAGCATCTACTACGTCCATGTCGCTACTCCGTTGGCTAGTATCAGACCTTCCCCAACAGCCAGAAGAACCTCGCTACTTGGTGAGCCATGAACTTGCTCACTTTATTCTTTACAGCGTCTGCTGTAGCACTTATTCTCCGTCGCTTCTATATGAGCGCACGGCGCAGACAGCACAACGACCTATGGAATAAGATAGATATCGTAGGCGTCCCACAGGGCGGTGGTATCCTATCATGGGCCTTTGCCATTGCAAAGTCAGTCACCTCGATGCAGGAAGCCATGCGCGATGGTTACAAAAGGTTTTCAAAGTTTGATAAACCCTTTGGCCTTCCGACCATGTGGATGGGAGGGGCTCTTGTTGTCCTGCCGCCATCCATGTTGCACCTCCTCAACAGGCCTCGTGATGAGTTGTCTAGTTTCGACGCCTTGCTGGAGAATGCTCAGTTTCAATACTTGATGACGGATAAGGATGTTTGGGGCAACACTATTCACTTTGACATTGTTCGCAAGAACCTCACCCAGAAGGACATGGGTCCCCTAGCCGGCATCATGGCCGAGGAATGGGCCACAGCTTTCCAGAAATGTTGGGGAGATTCGAGAAACGGAACCGTTGTTAATGCCTGGGACTCGATGGTACGAATTATTTCGCACGCCGCATTGCGAATCATGGTCGGGTTGCCTGGAAGCAAGGACGAAACGTACTTGGAGCAGTCGAGGCTGTATGCCAATGCCGTTCTGGTAGACGCTTGCTTCATCAACTGTCTGCCTCCGGCGTTGCGGCCAATATTAGGAAGAGTACTAGCCCTGCGAGCTAGATATCACCAGCGAAAGTTGCTCAAGATGTTGCTACCCATGGTGGAGGAAAAGATGCAGCAGTTCGAGGACCGAGGCGGTGATGAAGCCAACAGTCCAGTAGGCCAACACACCTCACCATCCACTTCAAAACTTTCGCTTCTAACTTTATACCTATCCGTTTCAGGGCAATGTTATTCAGTGGCTTATTGCCGTTGCTAAGAGCCATGGACCCGAACAAATGACAGCGAACAAGATAGCCATGCGCATCCTCGCCCTAACATCCATGTTCGTATTCGCCATCGGCTGGGTCTTTGCGCACGCAGTGATAGACATATACAGCAGCGACGAGCGTGACGAAATCGTCAGCACGTGCAGGGACGAGTGTCGACGCGTGTCGTCCGAATACCAAGGTCTGTCGACAAAAGAGGCCACCGACGCTCTCTACTGTGTCGACTCTGCTGTGCGTGAATCTATGCGCCTCAACGACGTAATGGTGCATCTGCTCCCACTAGACGTCATATCAGGAAAGGGAATTGATCTCGGTCAAGGCCGCCGAATAACTGCTCGGTCAGGCGTGCGGACTGTGTTTCCCGCGCAAATGGTGCACATGGATCCCGAGATATATCATCATCCTGAGCATTTCGATGCGTTTCGCTTCTCACGCGAGTTTCCTGCTCCGCAGCATACTGATCGTCAGAACGGAACCAAGAGGCAGCTCATGACCACCGTTAGCACATCGTTTCTTCCTTTTGGCTATGGTAGGCATGCGTGTCCGGGGCGCTGGTTCGTAGCCCAGATGGTGAAGCAGGCCGTGGCTTATGTGCTTCTCAACTACGACGTTGAGGTCGTCAAGAAACCAGGAAAGCGGACTTCGATGCTAAACTTTATGCTTCCCCCGCAGAAAGTTGCGCTGCATGTTAGTAGAAAGGGCGTAGACGTACAATGACCATGCAACACGACTGCGAATGAAAAGACGGGGACTAGGCTACAAGTTGTTTAACGAATTGCTCTATCCACAGAATTGTGGCAACCGAATTCATGGAATAGATGGATAGTATATAGTGCGTTTGCAAAATAGACCGAGAAAGCTGCCAATCAGAATGAAATCCATTTATCATGAATAGGTCGCCGTCACTTTCTCCCTTTCTCTCTCCAAAAAGTTCTTGAAGGATGTAGGCCGAATCACCGACGCAACCCCATTCATATCAATATACCGTGACATATATCTCATGGAGATTTGAGAGTTCGTAAATACATTCGAAGTTTTTTGGTTTTCCCTAATCTCGTCGTCCGTCAGAAAAACTGCCTTCAGAGGCCGCCCAGCTGCTTCGCCCAATGTGGTCAGGGTATCCTGCACCGACAACATGTCGCTCGCCAACCCAATGGCCTGGCCGTGAAATCTTTCTGGATATTGAAACACCTCGGCTGCAAACGAGGCAATATCGACATGGTCGATCAAAGCAAGGAGCGTCTCTGGCGTCATTGCCGTCGTCCACGTGCCCTTGTCCCGGGGCTCCGGATAACGGGCCACTTTGGGTTCCAGGAAATTGGCCATGAAGAAAGAAGGCCGCAGAAAGGTCCAGTATTGGAAGCCGCCACGCCGAACAGACTCCTCTACGCCTTTCTTGCCGGCCAAGTGTCCTGCCATGAACGATTCGGGGACAATGTGTTCCTTGGCCTCGATGTCGTCCAGCGTGAAGACGCCTAGCGACGTCGACGCAACCACTTGACCAACACCCGCGGCCTGGGCAATCTTTACAATGGCCTCCGCCTGTCGTCTTTCACGATTCATGTCGCTAAAGTCTGGCAGTAGGCATAGAAAGAGTTTGTCGCAGCCGGTCATGGCCGACTTGAGCGCCGCAGCATCATCCCAATCGCCCTGTGTGAGTTGTACGCCGGCGGCCTTGAGCAATTTCGCTGGTCCGGATTCGAGGTTGCGGACTGTCGCATGGACTGCCCAGTCCATAGCACGTAGTTGGTGAGCGAGGGCTCCGCCCTGACTGCCGGTTGCGCCGCAGATAAACACGGTTGGTTTCATAGACATGATGCCGATGATGGGCCGGGCCGGCTTACATGTAAACTACGGTCAACGACTTGGTGGCCTTTTGTTGCAGCGATCCAGGCATGAGGAGTATATGGTGAGGCGAATGACATCAATACAGCCACCAGGACGGCAATGAGACTCAGAACAAGGCAGCATCGGAACCGGTCGAATGTATTCCAGAGCTCGGCAAGGGCTGACCCGACGATTTCTGCTCTGCGGAGCCAGTTCTAGCGTAAGCCAGACGTTCCCTTGGACTGAGTCGGGCGTGTTGGGCAGATATTCTGTAATGCATACATAGCCCCCCGACAATCTGTCGGAGGATAGTTCCAAGTTAGGCGGCTGCATAATCTGTGCTGATGAGCTGTCTGGGGACCCATGAGAACCATGAATGTACCCTCGAGTAGTTCAATGTACCGTCAGATGTGCCATGCAGCCGGTCACACAGGCATTGCAACCGTATGTGTCAAGACCTTGGTGTGGGCTATTAAATACTGGCGAGGCATATATATATGTGTGTGTGAGTGTGTGTGTGTATTGTGATCAGTAACTGATTCAACATGGACGCTTTCTCCAACGTAGCTCAAGTTATCGCAATTAGCCGTAGAATTTCAAATACCAGAAAGTGATTAAAACGCAGCCTATTCCCAGTCTTTACTCCAATAATAGCGGCCGTGCCAGGCCGGTTTATGTAAAGCATTTGGAGGGGTGTGGCAGCCTGGCTTACGGTGTGGCCCAGAAATCGGTGTGCCTGGCTGCATATGCATGCTACTGTACTCCGTACGTTCATTGTGAGACATAAGACGCCCATTTGACCAGTCAAAGCACGAACTTGGCATAATGCAAGTCATTTGTCAGGGCACGGTGGCTGTGATTGAGGCATACGGCGACCACATGTCTAGCACATGCTGCGTAGCATGACGGTGAGCGATAACGTTGCCCAATCCTTTCCCTTATCCTCGACAGGGTATTTTGGAACTTGGAACCCTCTATTCCGTCTCGTAAGCCAACTTGGCAGCAGCTGATGTCTGACCACTCTACTTCTTGAATTTGGCTTCTTGGTGCATGACCCGAGTCTTTTGCAGGCTGGTGTACTGCGTTTCCCCGTACGACAGTGTAGAATTCAGAATCCCCCTACACGCCCGGAGCCGCACTTGACTAATGTTGTCTTTGAGTTCCACATTTCGTTCCCTTTCATTCATAGAAATGTCTGGTGGACCAAACTGGTGAGTAGCATAGATGACTGTGAATATCGGTTGCCCTCGAGACAACTTGCCATGGTACATTAATAATAACATTTTTTTTATCTGAAACTATTCAGCCAACCAATCCCCATCGTGGAATTGGACAATAGTGCACAAGGTGCTGGCGTCTGGCCTGCCTTTCACCTTTGTTTGTCATCACAAGCAAGGAAATACCGAAACTACAGAAACGTTGCTCGAGCTTGGTAATTCTGATCCTCTGGCTTCAGCTACAACTTTCCCCAGTCTTTATACCCTGCTATATCCCTCCCGTTACAGGCGGGTGCGGGAATACTTCACTACAACTAGTAAGTGCCCGTCCCCAACTCGTTTCGTATACTCGAACCAGTTGACGTCCAACCAGAAGTATCAGCACTAGAAACGAAACCACTAGTCTGGAAAGCGCCATGTCAAACTCCTCTCCCACTGCTGAGCCTACGCCCATGCAGGGCCCCGACGAGAAGGATGCGCCTATGGCTGATAGTAAACCCCAAAACGGCGTGGGCTATGTGACAGGCCTCAAGTTGGCATTGATTGTCGGCAGCGTAGCGCTTGCCTGTTTTCTCATGCTCTTGGACACCATGATCATCAGCACGGTAAGCAGCTCAAATCCCGGTGCTTCCTCACGGCTTGCCACTGACCGTTGCGTCAAGGCGATTCCACGCATCACAGACACCTTCAACTCACTCCCCGATGTCGGGTGGTACGCCAGTGCATACCAATTTGGCAGGTTTGCGATTTCGTACAATCCGGTATGAGGAGCAATTGAACTGAGACGACCAACAGCGCCGCGCCTCAGCCACTGACGGGAAAAGTATACACACACTTCAACTCTAAGGTTCGCACGTCCCTTGTTGTAACACGAATATTATTGCGGCCCCCATACTAAGTTAGATGAAAACAAGTGGTCCTTTTTAACCTTTTTTGCCATTTTCGAGTTTGGCTCCGTGCTATGTGGCGCTGCTGTCTCATCAGACATGTTGATTGTTGGCCGGGCCATTGCTGGATTCGGCTCCGCCGGCATCATCAACGGCGCCATTACCATAATCTCAAGCTGTGCACCTCTGGAGAAGCGTCCATGTAGGTGAAGCTTTAGAATGACAAATTCGCACCGAACCCTTTCCATGTAGCCCGAAAGAAATCACTGACTCGTCTCGCAGCCCTCATCGGCCTCACAATGGGATGTAAGTGGTCCCTTTCACCAGTGAAACATGCACCCATCAGAACTAATTTATACGCTCCTATGCGCAGTAAACCAACTAGGTCTTGTAGCTGGGCCTCTGATTGGAGGAGCCTTTACTTCATATACTACCTGGAGATGGTGTATGTTCTTTGTGTCCCCCTGGCTGTCGTGTACTGTCGTCGCTTACATGGATGAGCAGGCTTTTACATCAACTTGCCTCTGGGTGCTTTTACTGCGTTGATCCTCCTCCTCCTCCGAGTGCCGGAGCAAAAGGCAAAGCAAAGCCCACTTGTCGTGCTTTCGAGGCTGCATCATTACCTGGACCTCGTGGGATTCGCCCTTTTTGCCCCCGCTACCCTGCAACTCCTCCTTGCCCTCCAATACGGAGGTACACAGTTGCCATGGAATTCGTCCCGTGTGATAGGCTTATTCTGTGGTTCCGTTGGCACGTTTGTAGCGTGGTTCTTCTGGAATCAACACAAGGGTGACGATGCGTTGCTCCCGCCCTCAATGATCAAGCAGAAAGTTGTATGGGCGTCAGGGCTGTACCAGTCCTTTATGATCTCTGCTGTCTATGGAGCGACTTTCTTCCTTCCTATATACTTTCAGGCTATTGAAAATGCTACAGCAATGCTCATGGGGTCTATCTCCTACCCACGATTCTCCCGCAACTTTTCGCTGCCGTCTTTTCGGGAGTCTTGTGTAAGTGTGCCTTGCAGAGCCACTAGTCTCCATGTATACATGTTGCTAATGTTTTGCCCAGTGCAAAAGATCGGATTTGTAATTCCCTTGGCCATTGTTGGTACCGTCCTTCTGGCCGTAGGAAGCGGGCTGTACTCGCTCCTGCAACCAGGAAGCCCAACTGGATATTGGGTAGGATTTCAGATCTTGGCAGGGATCGGCTCAGGGCTTAGTATGCAGCTGGTTTGTCTCATTCCATGCTCCCGTCGTGGACCTTGGAACAAGTACTTACATAGGACCCCTTAGGCTATCATTACAGTTCAAGCAGCCGTTGGCGGAGAGCAACTGGCCACGGGGATGGCTCTGGTTATTTTTGCGCAATCCTTGGGTCCAGCTATTGTGCTGACTCTTTGCAATGTCATTTTTGTTTCCAGTCTTGCCTCACAACTGCAAGACAATGCGCCTCTTGAGAATGCCCAGGCGGTGATACGGGCTGGCGCGACGGGATTTCGTACCATTGTCCAGTCCGATAATCTTCCTGGAGTTTTGGCTGCATATGCCAACAGTATAGATCGTGTTTTCTATTTAGTTGCAGCAGTGGCTTCTGCATGTGCACTTGTGCTATGGGGAATGGGTTGGCATGACTTGAGGAAGAAAGATGGCAATGGTCAGCATGATTCCGCCCATTCTGACGGCCAGGCTTAATAATGCCCGCTCAATGCGTTAGGTTCGATATGCATCGATCCATTCTTCTTTGTATTTCTAGTTCAGCACATTCATTTGTACTCTCAACTGTTAGCTTTGCTGAAGTGGCGAGAGGCCAATCACAAAGGAGATAATCACGCAATCTAGTGATGACGACATAGCCTTCAGGTTTATTCCAAAATGGGGAGTCAAAGACTCCCGAAAGAGGTTTTATCTGTCATACGGATGTGGCATAAAATCACGATATGGATCGACCTTTGATCCTGATTATAGTTTCGCGAGGGCTACGATTACGATGACATAGAGCACCAGGGCTCGGCGCTGCGGTGTGTAAATAAGGACATCCTGTCTTAAAGGTCTTGGACGAAACCAGGGAACTTTACAAAGACTGTGATTAGATGAATTGAGTATAGTAGAAGCTTTTCGACTTCAAAGCCGAGTCTTCCTGCGCATCTTGCTCTAAGATCTACTAGACAGGTCAAGTCTACCAGTAGCGCAAGGCATTATATTATTGACATTAACAAGCACTATAAATTGGCACAACCTTAACAATTTTCGTGGCACCGTGGTTTTTACCTGGGTCGGTCTCCCTCAAGAGACACTGGCGCTTTATGCCAGACAACGTCCACCCATCAAACCAGCTTTAATCGCATTAAACATCCACATCCATCCAAGTCTGCTTGGATTGAACGTGAGGTACTGGTGTGGAATGCATCTTGTCTTTGCCCACCAAACTTTGTTGGCTTCCTGCGTGCCGTGGGCCCATATAGGGTAGCCCATCATTCTCATGAATCCGTCCCGGTCTGCCGTGGGACATTTCCAAATTTTCATACTGCTCGGCCCTACTGACATATTTCGGAGAGTCCACTGATGACTTGGAGGCCTTTTTCCTCCGTATGATGCTGGCCAACGAATCGGAGATGGATCTCACCAGCTGCAACTTCACGACGGATCGGAGTGGTGGGACGCAGCCCATGATGATGACAAACGCCTGTTCGAGACAAGACCAAAGAATCTCAAGCGAGGCACCATACAGAACATCGGTGGCAGTGGGGTCGGCTTGTTGGTCGGCAATGTGCTTCAGGCCGACGGTCTTGAGAATTGACAGGACCATGGTGAATAGCGACACGCTCATGAGAAGCACAAGGCCGAGGCGCTGTCTCATGGCCATATGTAGCCCCCAAATCACCAGGATTGGAAACAAGACAAAGGTCAGATCGGTAAATGTCCATAGGGCTGGCGATACCCGACATGGTGGTTAGCGACGAAGCGAGGTGAACGGAGAAGCGGCAGAGGCGCGACTCACCTTGACAAAAGTATGCCAACGAAATGTAAATCTTTGGATTCCAATGCTCAGCTGGAATAAACGGATCCCAGTTGCCGCTCACTGGAGTGCTCTGGAGGTAGGTACAGGGAAGAATAATGACGGTCAATATGGTGCACAGGCCGGTCACGACGATGACGAACCATTTCAGCCATTTGTGCACGCCGCCAAAGAGACGCACCAGCAAGACGGCGATGGATATACGCGCCAATATGGAAACAATGAGTCCAGGCGTGTTGGCAAGCCACATCCACTTCAAGACGTTGATGACCTGATCCGGACGCAAGCTGGCATCGTGCTTTCCGAGACCATGGTGGTAGGCAATCGTCACAAACGATTGCGACACAATGTTGCAAGCCTGGTTGAGGGAAGTTCCTCGGGTTAGCATCGCGGCCTCAATAGTTGAGGATATGCTTTGCCGTGCTGGCTCTTACAATGGCGGCAAACATGAGCCAATCGTCCAAACAAAGGCCAATGGCCAGCTTGGTGCGCACGTAGAAGCGAAGGACTCCGGCGATGATGGCTACAGTGGCAAAAGTCCAGGTCAAACCCATCACCAAAGGCCCGCGGCCTTGGTCATCCGGGTTGACGGGCACGGGTAGCTGCGACATGGTATGATGGCGCGAAATGAAGGTGGAAAGCGACGACTTCTGGAAGCACAGCAGTCTGACCGTCCATAAATCGCCAGCACGTATTCTCGTGATGGTCGAATACCTGACTCATCGGCTCTTTGTACATTTGAACCATGGACTTGATGTGCGCTTATTTCTCTTTTCGCCCCCAATGCGGACGAATGTACCGCAGACGTATCTCAATGTACTACCGGACAGAATGCAAATCTTGTTCGCTGCCTCTGCAGCATGGGAGGCATCCGGTCGGCCACGGGCTGATCTCGTTGGTCCAGCTGACGACCAACGGATCCTCCAGGCAACATTCCATGAGCAAACTACTGCATGAGCCGTGCACCACCGGGCTGCATGTAAGACGACGTGCAGAGGGGATTCGTCAGATCCACGGTCGGGAAAGCTAGACGTCGCTCAATGGGACGAAAATCCAGGCAGGTAAGACTACATGTATTCATTAGGCTATAGTGTCTTGCTCCATGTCCCTTTACTTACCCCGATGCGACTGTATGTATCCCCTGCATGTACGAAGTAGAATGTCTGGTTCAACCAGACACTCTGTCGGGCGATCAAATACTACGCAGGCAAATGATGCATGATGCAACAGTAAGATGGGGCAACATCAGCCTTCGTATGGGTCGACACGAGCCATCAGATTACACCCAGCCTTGGTACCGATGCCAAAATTGTCCTTGTCCAATTCAAAGTCACTGGCTGCGACACCCTCGATGGTGAAGGAAAACCTCTGAACTAGAGCCGCGAGAACAAGGTACATCTCTGCCCAAGCCAGGCTGCGTCGTATCACTGCGTCAGCCAATCCAACAAAAGGTGCAAATTCCCAAGGGAGGGCGGCTGTGCCAAGGAGAAGAGTGAGACTCACTGCATGCCGAGGCAAATCCTTGTTCCGCGGGAAAACGGCGCAAACTTGGTGACGACTGCTTTCTCGGCACCTTGATCTATCCATCGATCGGGGTTGAAGCACATTGGATCGGGGTACAAATTTTGATCGGTGTGAATTAATATAGTAGTCATTCCGACGGGCGTGCCTGCAGGAATACACCAGTCGTTGTAGGCGAGGTCCTTGTCGGTGATTCTGGCTGCTCTCGAGGCGACTCCAGGGCTTAGGCGCAGGCCCTCCCTTAGAACACCCGTAAGATATGGGAGCTGCTCCAGTTGTCTCAGAGTAATCGGCTCAGAGGACTTGGTAGTCAACGACGAGATTTCCTCTCGGAGTCGTCCGAGAATCGCGTCATTCGTGTAAACGTGGAAGAGTATCAGTCTCAGGGCGTTTGCCGACGTTTCGAAACCAGCTCCGGTGACGGTGGCCACTTCTTCATAGATGCGCTCAAAGCTTTTCTCAGCGGGCGCAAGATCAGACTTGACAATTGCGTGGACCATGGTGTTCTGGACCTCGGTGTCGGGAGAGGACGATGCTTCAGCAGCCAGGGTGTCTCGCGTGTCTTGTTCGGATTGCTGTTGGAGTCAGTGATGAGCAAATGAGACGCAAGCGAGAGACTAAGGCCTTGTACTGCAGGTCGTCGTAGTTCAACTTGCCTGGAGATATCGAAGAAAGGCCTTTGTGCCTTCATCAGCCATCTTCATGGCCCAGCCAACAGGCATGGCTCGCACGGCAGGGCCGAACCAGCGGATATGCTTGGTCGCGCGCCAGAACATGCCAGCTCCTTGTGACGCGATGGACAACCCAATGCCAAAGTCCTCCAAGTCAAGCTCATTATATGCTTTGCCAATAATGTATTCGTTGGCATTGTCTCGAGTGAAGGCGCTGATGGCGGCGCCTAGGTTGACGGCGGTTCCCGAGAGATCGGAGAGGCGCCGGCAAAGTTTGCCAACATTTCTGTGCAGCAAAGCTTGGCGGTCAAGGACGTTTGCTTTGGAGAAGAATGGTGCAATGGCTCGACGACGGGCTTTGTGGACGTGATGATCTGCAAACGAGGAATGTAAGTTGGCGATTACAATCTACACGTACAATGGCTGGCAAAATGTGATACCTGAGCAAAATACCGTTGAGCCCTTGGCCCCGAAAGCATCGTATGTCCACGAATATTTGTCCCAACGTCCCTCCATGCGATAGAGCGTGTCGAAAAACTTGGCATCGGCGACGTGCAGTTCGTACGGGCTGATTCGAATGATTGGGCCTGACCAGGGCGATGGGTCAGTTTCTGGGGTCCATGGAAGGGATTGAAAATTGCAGACCTACCGTATTCTCCATGTAATTCTGCAATCTTTGCCGTGTATTGTCCGCCCAAGACAACATCATAGTACGCCTCATACCAGCGCGATATAGCTGCCAGTTTGGGCCCAGGAAAGCGAGCCAGAGGATGAAGAAACAGGCGATAAGCCGCAACGGTCGCAAGGTACGCGATAGTCGCTCCCAATACCATGGGCCAACTGATATCCAATGCCATGCTAGATATAGTAAAAAAATGGACGGGGCCGCAACAGTCAAGACGCCTAGAGAAGATCAGACTCTGTCCAATTCTGCCAGACAATCGTCAGAAATTGAAGAAAGAGAGGAGATGTCCATGCAGGCGGTGCTGACTGTTCACAGCATACCAGACATGTTCACCTCGGGCCAACAGGTCCGGCGGGGTTTGTTGGACCAAGCACAATATTGACTTGACATGTCACTACGCCTTGTTTTTGATGCATTGACATGCAACGTCATTTTACTGGTGATACCAGACACCACCTATCAGTTCGGTCGTTGTAGAACACCGCAGCATCATCGGCATCATGTGGAATTCAGCAAGTTTATTCTCCATGCAGTCAAAAAAAACTTGAGGTGCCTTTGTGCATATTTTCGTTGTTTTGTTATATCGCGCAAAGACCACAGCCCTTCAATGTTCCTTCCAGCTGGACATTTATTGACTAGGCCCCAATAATAACCTACCAGACCAGACATGTCAGTACGTACTTTCTCTAATACAAGGCACGTACTTGGCGCTACGAGTGAGTAAATCCGATACATACAGCGTATAAGTATAAGCCCAATAGTCTTGAGGGCTTTAGAGGCGGACTTTTAATATAGGCTTCTACGAGAGTATAAGTGCCGCGAAACGGGTTATGTGACACATACAAAGACGCCAGTTTTAATGCTATGAGAGAACTACACTCTAGTGCTATAAAATATGGCAAATTATAGCCTTTATTACTAGCATTCTCGCCATCTTGGTCTTTTCGACCCGAACGGTAAGACTCCTCATCACGAGAAGGACACAAACTCGATTGATAGCCGTGTTATAATTTACGTTCACATAAACCATTGACGCTTAAGATTTGCGAACCTGCTCCACTGCTAGTTGATTCCTCCCTGTTGACCACAGCTCCTTAAACCTTGAACCCTCCACGTCCATCAACTCCTGCGTCCTGCCCGACTCGACAACTCTTCCCTGATCAGTGACTACTACGCGATCAAACTCCATGATGGTTTCCATCTGATGGCTAGCCATGAGAATGGTATACCCTGTAAACCGCCCATGGATGCAGGAAGGCATAGCCATCTCGGTATCTTGATCCATGCTCAAACTCACCTCATCTAAAAGGAAAATACCACCGTTTGAACAAGTCGGCTTGTCGCCGAGCTCACCGTCCGATCGCTGTGATCGTGTCATCTGGCAAGAACACTGGCTCTTGGGATACAGAAATGAAGTGCCGACGAAGAGTGGTGCGGCCGATCTTGCGAAGGGGAACTTCATCAATTACAATGTTTTCAGCGCAAGATGGCAGAGAATCAAGCAGACGCATCAGGAGCAAGATGGTCAAAGATTTACCGCTGTCAGACCACAGAATATAAGTCAATATATGAGCGCCGAAGCAAAGAGGGCCAGATTACCTTCCTACTCGGCCGCATATTGCCACCTTGTCGCCCTCTGAAATACAAAGTATCAGATCTTTGAGGGGCAAGATGAGAGGAATGGGTGGGATTGTCGTTACTGCTGCCTCTCCATTGTCGGCAATAGTATTAGTTATGTTATCTTTGCGCGATTTCGAAGATGCACACACACTCTGGGTACCTTACACATAGGAAGCAGAAACGCCATTGATCTTGATAACACTCCTTGTAGGCCACACTCGTGGAACCATGACACTGACGCCTTCTTGACTTTCAGCCGGGACTTTCTCGCCAAAGCTTTTTAGGCGGCTTACAGCGGGAATAGAGGTTTCAAGCATGGCGTACTCCGTAGATTTAAACCATATGCAAAAGATTCCCATCAAACAGCAAAATAGTGACTAGACCAGCGCCGGTAGATGCTTCGTTTGCCGGAAGCAGAGTAGCAAAGGTGACGACGACAAAGGCGAGGCCCGCCACAACCCGTCTATAAGAGTTAAATCTTGAGGAAAGATGTTGGTCATGGTGTGCCCGCTGTCAGTAGTTGTAAAGAACCGCAGCGACGCGCTCATCACTGTGCAAGGAGTCTCCTCGTGGAGGCGAGCGCCGACAATTTGACCGACTGTCATGAAGCATATCAACCACAACACGAGAAGACATAAAGGACGGGAAAACTGAAAACAAGCGTATAGTCCTAGGTAGAAGGAATCGGGGTGCTAGGGATGTTCAGTTGAGATGTCGACAGACCAGAACTTGAGCCATATGTTGTTTAAGTTGGTAAAAAGCCGTAACCGAGGCCACAGACAGCGCAGGCCACAATCGGTGCGGCGCCCATGCAAAAAATATAATGGCGGTATACCGTGAAGTCCCCAATCATTCACATTGTCTGTTCTATCCAGCTGGATGTGTCTGGGTTTGTGCCCGATTTTGGCTAGGACGCCGTATGAACAGCTCCAGGTTCCGTATCCTCTGACGATAATAAAGTCCAGGCCTTCTCAATCTTGAGACTGCAAATACGAAATCTTGACGTTCTTGATTTGTCCAATGACACTGGCAGTCAAACTCACCCTCCTCTGAGCGGCTTGCATCCATGCCCTTTGGCGTGGCCCGATGAAACGCATCAAAACAGATGTGCTGACCACGCAGAAACCGACCACAATGAGCGGGCAAACAGACGATGGCTCTATCTGTAGAGAAAGGAGTCATGAGGCCAAGCCAACTTGGATTGCATTTGCCCAGAACTCGTGGATATCGAGGCATCCCGTGAGGATGCGCTCTACATCAGCACTCATCAAGGTGAGTGCAGCAGAATTTTCTGACGCAGAGGCCATTGCCTCGGTTGTCTTCTTGTATATCTCACCTGATAGCACGCCCCGTGCCATGTGCATGGAGCGCTCCTGGAAGTACGTTGACCAAGACGGTTGCTCCATGAGGCCGTAGCCCACTTTTGGCGACTTATTCACAGGTGGCTACTGCTGCAGGTAGTCAAAAAATCCTGTTAATGAGAAAGGGCTGGCAGAATTAGAAAGCAATCATGGCTACTCGCGGTAGCACAGGGAGGAGGGGGATAGAGAGCGATTCCATCAGCGCTCTGGCCAGACCGTAACGTTTCCCAGGGCTACTGCGCAGACTGTTGACACAGGCGGGTGATTGACCTGCAGATGCTCTGATGCCAAGTTGCAATCGAGGCGGTACAAGTCCTCTAGGGCCAATCTCTTCTTGTATCCTGCCAACGAGAGCGGGTTAAGCCATGAAAGGGCACCGAGACCAAACAAGCCAGCCGTCTCCTCAGGACTATGCTTATTTCCGTCCCAGCGGACCCGTTCAGACTTTTTCCACGACTTGAGAGCAATCATGACGGCCTTGACGGCCACGGTGGTGGTAAACAGCCGGGAGAAGGCAGCCTCGTCAGAGGGGAATGAAGCCAAAGACAGGGTACGGGTCTGACCGATATCCAGGATGATGGCAAGGGACAGAAAACCGTTGAGCAAGATGGACGGTCTAGTCGATCGCGCATGTTCCCGTCACGAGAGGGGCATCGCACAGACGGCGGAAGCAAACGGTAGAGCCGACGACGAGATAAACATTGCCCTGGACTTGGTGGACACGCGGCGATGAAGTTGGTTGCCGGAATGATGGCAAACAAGGCGTGGATTGTTTCAAATATCACGGGGAAATTAAAGTCGCCACGACACCCTTGAATGGCAGACCCAAAGGCCTCGTGATGAGCCGCCGCGACCAGCTCCTGGGGATGGGGAAGCAATCTCTGGCCACGACAATCGTCGACAGCCGACTCGGGGGTCAACGGTGAGTTCTTTTCAATGCGTGGTCGCGTCGGAGGGACCCATTCAGACGTGTCAGTCTTTGGCTAGATGTCTGGTGGTTTATAATTTAAGCAAAACGCAGTTGCTTCCACTGCGCGGACAAGCAAGGCATCCCAACACAAGGCACGCAAGATGGCCTTCGATTCTCCAGCAGGGTGTGTCGCAGTGCCAGATGTATTTGACAAATAGTAAAGGGCCGCTCAACACACAAGGCACTTCTCATTACAAGTAATTGCCTGAGCTGGCCATGTCAACCTTGCGCTTCTGCAGCGAAAAAGAGACGGCCGGTCACAGGAAATGTCAGCAGCTGTTCTGCTCCTCGTACAGGTTCAGTGGCACCACATCGTGGGGAACTGCTGGGAGGGAGAGGACTTCCTAATGGCGAATTTACATTCTCTGTCTCTGACTTACTTGAAGACATGGATACGTTCTGGCGTAGCTCAATGTGTTTTGTCAGGGCAATGCGTGGGCTTGTCCGTGGCACGCAGGCCACATCAACCCGTCGATATGTGCTGGTATTGACGGCTCCTTCGCAACCTCAGTTGCAACAAGCATCCCAGGCCGTCACAGGGGCAAGGACATCCTCAGCTACATATGTAAGCAAACGGGATCAATCGGGCCTGCCCAGCGGCACTTGGTAGTTCCCCGCACGCCCATGGACGCAGCGTGTTGCATTCGCACAACCCAACAAGGGCGTCGACAACCAATGGGTATTTCTCTTACGAGACACTGGGTGAGCCCGAAGAGTCTGGTACATTTGATATCCAGAAAGAGCCGTCTCTACTCGGTACTGGCTCTTGTCTGTGGGTGCTTGCTGCCATGAAGATGAGCTGATGCATTTCATCACAGACGGGTGGAAGTTCTGCCCAAATACTACTCCGTACTCTACATCTGCCTCTGCATCTGCACGGTGGCGGGCTGAAAAGCACTCCTTTGGGTTACCTTGGGCTGCAGCGTATCATTTCGTGACGGTATTTGTCAAGTCAGTTGTCAAGTCTAAAAAGGATGCGAATTCCAGCCACAAAAAGGTGACAGTCAGACTCAGTCATGATGACGAAACATTCATCGACAGGAATCCGAAACACCCACGCCAACCTCAATGGGAACCAAGTCTCTGTTTGCCCTGGCCACAACCCATATATCTCCTTGTGCGGCAGGTTGTGGAAGTGGTGAGGCCATGTTGGCTTGCACCCAGCTCCAACACGGCAATGGCAGATGCAGCAAGAAGCACCAAACGACAGCTGCAAAACAGAGACTCACAACGTCGCTTCCGTAAGCAAACTTGACTCACAAAACCTACAATGAAGCTGAAAGGTTCCAGGCAAGAGAAACAAGACCCGGCACATGTTCAACATGCCGCATGAAAGGGTTGGCCATGCTGCTTCCTCATGCACTCCATGTCCGATGCCGCTGGGTTTCAGCGGTGCGCCATCATCCGCTGAGCCGGCTGTCTCAACCTTTCCGAGAGACAGTCTCGATTTGCCCAGTCTGCTGAGCCCTCCAACATCGGATGAGTGGGCAGGCATGAGCCGCCTTGCCGTAGAGACTCACCACCAGAACGGCGCGCGGGGACGGATGCGCCACGATTACCATGATCCAAGCTTTGCGGCACACGGCATGGCACACACGGCGTCGTCGTTTGCTCTAGAAGAACTGACTCTGCCCAGAACAAATATGGATCTGGAGCATTGTGAGGGACATGCTCTCGGGTCCGTGGTACAACCCGACCGGTGTGGCAGTAGTGACGTGCTGCTTTCGCCCACATCCCTCGCCGACTCAAACACAATACCCAACATGGAATTCGAAGCGTTGGCTTGGCCAGACAGTAGCATACCATTGTCCAAAGCAGACCAGATGATATCAAATGTGGAAAATCTTCATGATTTCGGAGTCTGGCTGGCTCTCTTCCCGGAAGATCCATCGCTTCGAAAATCCCTGGCGAGAATAAAGGAACGATTCCGCCGCCTCACAAGGGCCGCGGGAACCAGCGTCGTCGATCATCAGAGAGACTTTGCTTGCGGAACAGATGGCAATCTGGCACAAGAAAACGGGCGGTAAAACGTCATGATGGACGCAGGCCTCCAGGCATCCAGCCCGTGGTCCAACCCATCGCCTCGCTCAATCGCTGGATTCGATCAAGAACGCAGGAATGTGGTTGAGAGGGGATTAACGTTGGTAGTAATTAGTTTAAACTATTTATGGATATTTGAATAGCCTGTTTATATAGGGTTTTTAATTGCGCTCAAGTTGGCAGGGTGGTGTTGGATCGCGTGACTCCTTACAACAGATATCTGTACAGAGGTCCAACAACTTGGTCAAAGATGGCAACGAACGAGGCAGGAAGATGACCACGAGGCCTACCGACAGGCGCGCAACAAAAGGGTAGATGCCGACTTGTACAAAAAGTCCTCCGCAATACCTACTGTCAAAGAGTGGAAGACGAAAACACATGCCCTCACGGCAACCACAAAGTCCATCATCCGCAAGAATATGCGCGCCGAATGGAAGGCCGAACATGGCAGAGAGCTCTTCAAAGTCGCAGTCCGCACGGGCAAGGATGTGCTCACCACACACGCTGGAACACACATAGCCATTGGTTTAGTCGTTAATTGACAGTTTCTGGGGCAAGTTTGATGGAAGCAAGAAATGGGTCGATGTCATGCCTGGTCTGCACATGTGTTGTATTGACGCTGCATAACTGCCGATAGGGCGGCTAACCCTAACCGGTACTAGCCAGGCACTAGCGGTACTGGCTTCACCGCCTTGTGCGGGCTTACCGTTTGGCATGACAGGCCAGGGCCAGGCCGTTAAATTTTGGCACCAATAGAAACACGCTAGAGAAGGGAATCGTGCTACGCCCCACTTTTGGGTTGGAACTTACAGGGGCTACGGGGCCAATAGGGTATCTGCAAGGAAATCAAAAGTATATAAAATGGGGTAAAAGGTATAAAATAAAGCATAGAATTATAGTAGAAGGATCAGTATTTTTTACTAGGGTTTATGTCTTGTGTATTCTCCTTGTTTCGCGATAACAGCTTTTCCGGATAAAATACACGGCCCACCCTGGCAGCTGATAGCGAATAACCTGCCAGCTGGCCCCACTTACTGATGTCACACATGGCTAAAAATTCAGGGGATATTGGTAAAGTAATAAGTACATCTTGTATTGAAAAAAGTCCCTTTCAATAACACTTGATCCCCCGCTTATCCACTTAACAGGCCTAGTAGGCCTAGAATATAAGATCTGTTAGAGCAGTGCGTATTGCGGGAGGAAGCGGGGCTAGGTACATATCCCCTCTGGTGTGTTAAGGCTCCAGTGGGGTCACGGGCTCCACAACACCCTTGTAAGCCGCTAGCAACCTCGGATGACTTTAACAGCACCCTAAATTTTGGTATATTATGAAGTAGTGATTTGTATTAAGCCTGTTATAGTAACCTTTACTGTCACCTAATTTACTAGTAGATATATATACCCTTTAAGTCTTCTCACTGGATACACATCCCTACAAATACTTACCTTACTGGAGCCTTAACACACCAGAGGGGATATATGTCAAGTCAAGTCAAGTATCTTTTTGACAACATATAATTCAAGGGTCCCTTGGGTCAACGTGCCCCAAGCAAAAGTCGACATTGCTTCGAGCACTTCACCCCTCGCACCACTCACGACCATCGCCCAACATGTTACCCTCGTCTCTGAAGAGTATTTATCAACAGTACAAAGCTGACACGGATTCTGTAGCCAACTGGCTGGCCACAACGGCCAACGCCAACGGTTATCAAGACAATGCTTCAAGCTCCAACAATGTACTGGCCAAGTCAGGTAGAGTGAAGGGCAAGGCTCGGAAACAAGCTAAAGCTTCAGGCCAGCCTCAGCCAGGCAACTTGGCCAACAAGACTTCTCGCATCATCAGGGTCAGGGATTTTGAACCCATGGCAAGCCATATCGCCAAGTTAGATTCCGTCAAGGTTCCCCATGACTTGAGTGTGGCCCTTGAGCGCGTTATCTGGGGTACTTGAATTGAATGTCACGGCCCTCATTTGTATGCAGCAAACTAATATTTCTGTCGACAGTGCGCAAGAACTTTTTGAAACGGCTTCTTGACAGTGGAGCCGAAATCGAGCCCGGCTCAGATGAACGACACTCTTTCTTTGTCGGCGTACTTGAAAAAGTTCGCAACTGTCTGAAACCCCTCATGGAGACGGGCAGCTTCAACGCCGACGAAGCGGCTGAAAAGGCTGGCGAGAAATCTCAGGAGGCTTTCAAGAACATGTTTGACGTTCTCCAAGTCTACGCACCATCCGAATCATTCTTGAACGCTCCAGATGTTGCTCCCAAGTCCGCAACCGTCTTGGAGTATACTGTCGAACAGGACGAGTCCATGGAAGACGCCATCTTTGCTCTTGTCACTCTTTTGGGTGACTATAGCCGCCTCAGGCAAGAGATCAAGTCGCTGTGGGCGGATTACGAAGCAAATCGTCTCGATCTGGCGGCCGCCGCTGTTGCAACCAACATGGCTTTTGAGCTCGCT